AAATCTCTAGATGTTGCTTTTGCCAGAATGTAAGCCCTTACTTCATTACCATTACAGTTTACAGAGTAAGTAGTGGATTAGACAGACTGCTAATTTTGAAAATGGAAGTTAGCATTATCTGTGCTGGCTCGTCAGTTGAATGGAGAGATAAAAGTATTGGAAAAGAAACAGCTTAATCACAAGCTTAGCAGATAGCTAGTAATGAGTTAAAATGATTAATATCCTCTTTGCCTTAATGTTACACTGGCAGGAGACTTCCAAAAAGCTTCATCATTTTCTATTAACCTTCAGGTCCTGGATGGGTGGAGAACTTCATTCTATCTGTATTACATTTGATATTCTTTTTTCCTTGGGGTTAAATCCCATTCTGAATTTGGTTGCCCGAAGGAAGATTGCGTTGACAGAGAATTAATGAATGATGTACTTCTTCATTGTTCTTCTGAAGATTTAATATGTCAGTAGGTGCAGACTGACACCTACATGCTGCTAACACTGGGCACAATAATTTCTTGTGGAGAGAAGTCTTATGCTTTTGAAGGAATGGCAGCATTCATAGCTCAGCCTCATTGTTGGTTATAGCTAAGGGCAATGCACTGCTCAGAGTTACTGTGTCATGAGTATGTTTTTTTTATTTTCCTTTAGGAATGGGTTCTATTTTTAAGTTTTATATAAAATTCAGTGAAATAAGAACATAAGGATGGCTATTTTTACCCTATAAATACTTCAGCGGCCAGCCCTGCTTCTAAAAGGCTTTACAAAAGAATAATGTAAAAATCTCAGTTTTATTCTACTATTTGATACATGAGGAACAAGTGCTGTTTAAACACATCATGCTTTTCTCATAACTGATTCTCTGCCTTACAAGTTGCATTTTGTTTGTGCTCTCAGCCTGGTAAGTCATGTTTCAGGAAAGCTTTCAGGTGTGTAATTATAAGTATTTCCTTAACTGAGTTACAAAGCCAAACCTACTAATTCTGAAGTTACATGATAAACAAATGTTACCTTTCATAAATCTACCTTCAGATACTGAATTTTATACCCCTTTACCCATCTTTAGAGTAAGATCGGTATACTGTATCTCTCTTTTAGATCAACTCAATTAATGTAGATGTAGGACTAACTGCTGTAATGTCACTGGATTTCATATTACATATCTTACATCTTTCTTTCTTTTCTTTTTTTCCTCATTTTCTTTTGATCTTATGTTATAGTTTTTGTTCCTTTTTTTGTTTTTTTCACTAGCATTCATTCTGTGGCCTTGATGACACAACTGAGCCAAGACGTGTGGTTGGTATTCTATATATTTCTTTGTCCTCGATGTTTAATTCTTAGATTTTACCATGTTTTCAGAATTATCTTCATAAGACCCTGAAACTATGAGGGAGGGTGTATTGGTTGTGCTTGCTTGCACAGAGAGGAATAATCACCTATAAAATCCAACTTGGATGCCTTCAGTTACCTTTCTAGACTTCTGCAGAAAGTCATGGGTTTTCAGTGAGAAAGGATTTTGCATTCTAAGATACTGACTGCCCTAAGTGCAGTGGGTGCTTTTCAGTTCTGTAGGGCAGGTATATTTTTTCTGACAATTCAGATATTGCTGTAGGACCCTACCTTCTGTCAGGCCAGATGGAGAGGTGGTGAACATTCTCTGGTTTTCAGTTTTGCTTTTTAGTAGCCCTGTAAGCATCACCACACATGCAGAATAGGAGGGGTTCATTTCACTTCATCAATGTCCTTGAAGCCGTGACATAGTTTAGGAAATAATAACCTGATTCCCCTTTTATATAAGGCATTGTGAAGGTTGCAATGTGATCAACTCTCCCTGTGCCCATGCAACATGGAGAAGTAAGGATAACAAACCTCCATGTCTCTCCTTTCAGACACTACCCTCTTCCCTGGAGCAACGCAAGCTCCACACTGCCTTTCAGTAAGGATCATAACTCAGCAATCTAACCGTTAAAGGGATAAACTATGGTTTAAAACTATTGAATATTTACACAGTGTTTCTGTTGTTGCTGTTGATGTTTTGGTTTGTTTGTTTAAAACTGAAAATACACAAGGTTTTTACCTTTTCAGTTTTTCAAAGTGTTTTTTTCTTTGGAATCTGTTGTGAATTATGTTCATGGAATCACTTTATAGTAGAAAATGTGGTTAATTGACTCCTTTGAAACTGCAGTCAAGTACTGTGTGATAAGAAGCATGATGACAATAGTTATCAAGAAAAGCTATTCTATTTACCTTACATTAAGCTTGAAACAGTATTTTCTTCTGCCTAGATCACAAGTACTGTTGAGAAATCAGACCTGTATTATCATGGTCTCTTTTGGGGTTTCATCCAGATCCCAGTACATTCATTTATCATCTTTCTGTAGATGGTCTTGGGAACTAGCTGTGGTTGTTCTAGTGTCTCTGCATGCATTTTATATTTTGCAATAAAATGATGATAGATGCAGATGGGTGAGATGTAATCCAAGGGTATTAATGTTTTGTTACAGGTTCAGTAGATTTCTTTGGGTTGCTAGATGGGTGTTGAAAAATCCCTAAAATTGAGCAATATTTTTAACTGCGTTTTGAGCATTCTTTTTTGAAATTTTCTTCATTTTTTCAAAAATTGAACACATGCTTGTAGAGATGCATTTGAAGAAAAGAGAAGCCTTGTGGTTCCCTGTTCACCTTAGCACAGTCTGAATTGAATTTTCTGTTCTGTGGAGTTTGGAAAGGACAGATATAAGTTTGGAAGAGTCATGTTAAAAGGAATCACATGTCTTGGGAGTTTCATCTGTTTTATTTACTCCAATCCCAGTTAGAGGTGCTAACATCTGGATGAATATTTTTTATGTTAAATACTGTAAAAAGGGTATTGGTCAAGTTTAGAGACACCTTACAAACATTCTATAACCTTAGTGAGAACACCAGCATTTATCAAATTCCATTTAAAATACTTCAAAATAAAAAGAGTTCAAGGTTTAGGACTGATCTATAGCGTTTTGTACTGATATAGCTGATAGTATTAAAGGTCTGCTTTAGTGAGGAAAATAAAACCAAAACCTTTTCAAGTATAGTTAGTCTCCAGAAAATATGTTGTGTTGCTATAAGCCGCTATTCTTCCTGTTAACAGTAGCCATTTAAGCAGTTAAATTCAAGGTTCACGACAAGAATTTTGGGGCGGTAGCACAGCGGTAATGACTGTGTAGTCACATAGTGACTCAACTCTCATATTTCTAGGAGTGCACGTTGTATTGTGCTGCTAATGTAGAGGGTAATTTCCTATAATTCATTTTGCCAGAGATGAATGTGTCTCTGATTAATGTGTCACAGCAAAGCCTATTTTAAGAGACTTAACTCTAGTTGAACTCTGGAACACTGTTCATTACTTCAAGGCAAACCAGGTGATTTACTGATAGTAATTTTGATTCTTGTCATTTTGAAGCTAATAGAAAACTTTTAGAAAGAGATTGTGGTGTCTGTAAATTTAGGGCTGGATGCCAACACTTATTTCTATCTTAATATTTTCTATCTAAAGTTCATCAGACTTTTTATTTTCTTTGTTGTTTTAGTTTTCTGGTTTTTTTTTGTTTTGTATACAGGCTACTAAAAGAACCTATGGAGTGAACAGCTGAGTCCACTTGCAAAAATACAGAAAATATTTATTGAGCAGCTTTAAATTGATGCATTTTTTTCTAAAAACAGTTTGCATAATACTTGAAGCTGCAAAACATTTGAATTTAGAATTAGAGATTTTTAAAAGATCTAGCTTCAAGCTGGAATGATTTGCAAATCAAATAAGGACCAGCACACCATAAACACTGAAAAAAAAATCCAAACAGAATTTACACTCTCACACCAATCAAACACTGGAAAAAATACAAGTGCAATTACTGGCTGCTGTGTGAACTGTTATCTGCCAAATGGTTTTCTTACAGTACTGAGATTTTCGTCTCCATACTGCATGCTTTCAACAAAAGTGGTTTGCATTTCACCCAGGAAACACAGAATCTCGTTTTTAAAATCTATATAAAAAAACTAAGTGTTTGACAATAAGTTCTCTATAGTAAATAGCTGATGGGAAAAAACTGTTCAAAGATGGAAACAAATAGAAATTTGCAACCCTGCAGTGGTAAAAATCATATTAAATTCATACACTGGAAATCAACAGGTGAAGAGATGGGTTTTGGAGAAAGTCAAGATGGACAATTGAAGTAAGGAAACTTTGCAGTGGGTAAGAACTGTGTGGGAGAAATGATTATTTTAATGTTTCTTGAAAATTAAGGCAATGACTTGTAAAGGTAGCACTGGGAGAATGGAAGTTCCCGAGGTCACCTGAGAGATTAGTAAAAAGGAATGCATGATGCACTGTGCTCAGTTATCTCTTCAAGAAGAAAGAGCGGCTTGAAGGAATGGGTGTGTAGGCAAATGTAATAAGCAGAGAAATAGTTGGAAAGGAATATTTGGAAATCATGGCATTGTCCCAGGTGAAACAAAAGAATGTTGACATTAGCCACCGGGAAGCAAAACAGGTACAACCTCAACCAGCAAATGTAGTGGATAAACAAAGACCACCTCAACTGCAAAACAATTTGGGGTGAAGCACAGACTGAAAAAATGAAAGTTGAAAAGAGTTGTTTAAGATGGAGAATGGTTGGAAGATTCAAAAGTTTTAAGCTTATCTTTCAAAGCTTTATCAAGCAAATCATTATTTAAGAAAGGCATAAGGAAGAAATAGATAATTTGATTTCTGGAATGTTGAGGCAAGCTGAAACTATTAAGAGCACAATATGAAAAGTTAACTTTCTCCTCCCTCACATTTTCTTGAAAATGATCTATGCGTTTAAAGGGCTACACAGAAAGCTACAGATAATTCTGCTCCCATGGACGCACAGACTCCAACATGAACATGGAGTGGGATAAGATGGTTATGATAATATATCACATAAAGTAGAAATTATGATTAAAAAAAATAACAAGGTAAATAACAAGGCAACACAAAGCAAGCTGATTTGTCACCGCAACTGAATAGCTCACTCTTGAAGCTGCAGGAATCAGCCCCAAAAGAAGCTGGTTTTCTCAGATCATTTTTAGATGTACTCTTCACAAGGAATCACCAGTCAAGACCATTTACCCGCAGAAGTAGTTGAGGCACTTCACAAGATTAATTCAGTCAGATGCAGCAAACTGTGGCTCGTGTGAGGGTCTGAATAACCCTATTTCCTGGTACAAAGCACAATTTAAACTGGAAACAAGGATCATACAAGAGTTTGGAAAGTCAATCCCTAAAGGAACGCGTTGCCCACAATGTATTGTTCAAAAGAAAAACCAAACATTTACAGAATGCATTTTCAAACAGAGATTTTTCATGTTTTATTTAAAGCATTTAGCAGTGTGATGACAGAAAGTAAAAAAAATTAGGTCTTCACTTCAAAAGGAAGAGTTTGGGCATTAGTCTGAAGAGAAGGACCATGACGGGAGATAAACAGAGCTTGAGATAACCAAATCAGGTACTGATGAAGGAACAGAAACTGGGAATTGTGATTCACTTGGCAAAGAAAAGCTCTTCTCATAGATATAAGTTTGTACATCACTGCTTTGGAAATGAAACTATAAGCACAAACATGGGATGGTCACAGCACATGGCTGCAACGGTAAGCTCACTGCAGAGCCAGGAGATGGTCTTGTTACAAAGCAGAAAAGGTATGTGCAGTTTAGTTTGCTCATTTTTTTATGTGTCACATTGTGATTCACATGTGACAATTTTCTCAATGAAACTGGCTGATTAGAGTGCTGTTTTCCATTACATTCATGATGGTTTTAATTCCACACTGAGCTAGCAGGATTTCTAGTTTTGGAAAACTAGGAATTTTACTAGTCCATTGCATACAGGTATTTGTTACAGAGCTCTTGAAACAATAAAATATGAGATATTTAACCAAAATAAGGGGGGGGGGGGAAATTGTGTGGTCAACATTCTCAATTTTATTAACTCCTCTACTTACTAGAAAATTATCCTCTTTTCAAAACTTTTATGCCTAATTCGTTAATGAATTAGTCTAATTGAATTTTTATGGAGATCTCATGTTGTGAACTGCAACACTCTCCACATGTGCTGCATTACTCTGGGGCTAATGAAATGAGACTCTTTCATAAATAATAAATGTATTCAGAATTGAGAAGGACTGTTTGTTTGATCATCAGAGGCTCAGTCTCTTTTACTCCATGCTTAGACTGCAGTATGTTGAGAACCTAATAATCTGGGTTTGTTTCATCATGGATCCAGGGAGAAAACAAGAATTTTGTTATTGTATTAAGATGCCTAGTAATGAAGGATTTGATATCCTGAATTTCAATGTTAAAATTGATACTTCATGGATTTTCCAGGAATTAGAAGATGCAAGCATACCTGATGAACGAGTACACAGTGCTGGAGAAGAAAATTTGGACCTCCGAATAGAAGAGCTGGAAAAGTCAGAGCAAAAACTGAGAGATGTTTTAGAGGACTACGTGAAGTCAGATTCTGTCCTAAGAAATAGGTAAAGTGTTTTTTTCTGTATTCAAAATTAATGCAATGTACAAATGTACCCTTCCTTTTGCCCCACATACTGGCTGTCAAACGATACTTGCAAAACCAAAAAAAAAAAGGAAAGACTTAATGGGGTTTTAGGATGCTTGATAAGATGCATGTGTGTTTTGTGTAGCTGGTGGAATAGAAATGCAATATTTGAGATTTTAATAATATAACTCACATTTACAGCATGATCTAAAATCTTGTAAATGACCAGACAGATTTCTCAGGATGTTTTATTCTTAAATATTCATGACATATAAATTCTGCTTGAATATTATATTCCTTTCCTTTGAAGTTCAGAGTTAATTTGGAATTTTGCATTGCAAAAAAAGTTTCTTGTTTCAGAAAGCTTCACCTAGTTTAGTATGTTAATATTAAACACAGTAGCTAAAGCTGCCATTAAATATTAATCATGTAGTTGACTAGAATAATAAGATCAAGGTTTAGCTGATCACCAACTGCACTGTTCTAAAGGAAACCTAATCAAAAGTACAGAAAACATAAATGGCATTCAAAATAATTATTTAATTTCTGAATTGTTGTAATTCATCAAGGGATTTGGCCAGAAATATTTTAATAATGGACTTTTTATCAGAATAATAATGAATCTTTTTTGAAATGGAAGCTTTCATAGGAACAAGCCTATTTTAACAAAGGTTTGGGAAAGGGAAGTCAGAAAGAAATTCATTTAAAACCAAAACAAAGCAAGTATGAGAGAACAATTCAAGGATCAGCTGAAACTTGTCTGGGATACATGAAGCCCATTTTTAGGGATCTTGGGTAGCCAGTAGAAGTGAAAGAAATCCTGTGCCTGAAGTTCTGGTGGCTGCAGCACAGACAAATGAGACGAGGAATTACATGGAAGGTAGAATTGTTAGAGAAAACAGAGAATCAGAGTCAGCAGTTGTAACTAGCCAGGGCAGAATGTCGACCTAATATGTGGCCCAGTTTTGCTTGACACCAGTGTTAGGTTATGCCGTGTCTGCAATGGGGAGGAACACATCAGGTTTGCTTTGATACATAAATTGATACTTATTTAATTATGTGTTTTCTATCTTAATCTTGTTGCTTCAAAAAAATTATTATGTGAGTTTTTTAAATGAAGGCAGCATTGTTGTGCTGGGATGGAGGCAGCAGGAAGTTTATGGCAGGTGAGGGCAGTAAAACAAAGAATATAGAAATGAGCAGGTGAGCTGAGTGGAAAACTATTGCAGGTTGAACAAATAAATTCATGGAAAAAGATGAAGCACAGCACAGTCTTTAGGGGCACAGGAGGTGATGTGCACATCTCTGAGATAAGAAAAGGCTCCAGTATCTGCCACAGGGAAAAAAAAAATGGGGAGGCTGAAAAGGGAAGGAAAACCTTAAGGAAAACATGAAGCTTGTTATTGTAAGTTTATTTTAACTATTCCTTATGTGTAGAGGAACCCCAAACATCACACCATATTATCTTACACTACCATTTTAGCAGCAACAGGTGAAATGAACCTTTATTTTGTCAAAATCCAGCTCTGTGGACAGTCATTACAGTTCTGCATTAGAGGTTTCAGTACCCACTGTGAAGTATTTTTCAAGTGAGATGTTTTCTCTTTGGTCACTAGAACACATTTACCTTCATCATAAAATTTGAACATGCTAATTATGAACCTAGAAAAACCCTATACATCAGTACAGGATTGGGTACATGTAGAGACTGAAGTGTTGTGGTTGTCATTATGGTAATTTGTTACTTCATACAGCGTGCCAAGCTTCAGTGAACATTAACCTTATGAATGTGTTTGCATATGGTTTTTGCATTAAGCAAGCAGAGAGAGAATGAACATAGGTGTTGTCTTTATCGGTTTTGAAAGTCTCCAGCATAATGTGCAAACCCCGGCAGATTTGTTAAGAAAAAAGCATCTGTTATTAGTGATCAAGATTTTATTATTTTATTCCTGGAAGAAAAATGGAAAAAATAAAGATAAATTGATGCACTGCTGATGACTGCTTACCCATCTGGAACTGTACTGTGTTGCATTTACTTAGCAAAGATTTTCATTCTCGCTCACAGGATGAAAGAGCTGGAACTATCACACAAAGCGCTTCTTGCGACGATTGATCAACTAAATGTGAAGTTGCACCAGGTCGAAAATGCAAATGTGCGCGTTAAAGGGAAAATAAAACACATTCAGGAGGACCTGATCAACTTGGTGAGGAGGATATTGTTTCAAATAACCTAGTTTAGCTTCTCTTTGGGGTAATAATTTATAAGTCATCTCCAGTTACTTCTCAGTGTTTAAGCAATAGATCGTCTCAGCCTTTCTCTTTTTCTACAACCAGAGGAATCAGAAGAACCTTTTGGTCTTTCTGGCCCCACCTGCCATTTCTCTAATGCTTTTGGCAGACTGTTGTTATTCTTCTCATTCAGACCCTTGATCTTTGAGATATATGCTCCCACTGCCTTCTTTCTCCGCAGAACCCACTCAGTGTACTCCTCCTCTCTAGGTCAGACTTCATCTTTCTAGCCCCATAAGGCTTCTCTTTTCTTTTATTCCCTACCACATGCAATACAACAGCACAACACAACTATCACAGCCTCTTTTCTATATAAAAAGCAGCTGCTCAGCCTGTCATCTGAGCTTTCAATTGCTCACACATCGTCAAGTTGGGCTCCACCTGCTTTGCATCCACTTTAAGCTTCCTGCTTAGCTTGGGTCCCCTTCCAGGTTTCCCAGATTGCTTTGGGTCATATGTTCTTTCCTGTGATGCATTGTCATGTAGGCCACCTCTCTGCAGAGCCCTGCTGGTGCATGCCCTCCTCTGCAGTGCCCCTCACTGGAGCAAACTGACCTGCTCCAATGTTCATTGCCAAGAACATCCCACTGCTGATCGCATGCCCTCTGTTCTGAAATTGTCAGCTCTGCAATGGAAAGTCTTCAGTTCTCCCAAGTGCTAGTACTTCCTCACATAAGCTTCTTGTACCAAGGAAGGTCAGCTGTTGGTTGATAACACATACAATGGTTATTTTCACCTAGTTTGCACAGCTGACTGGATGGATCCCTGAAAGTGGAGAGGGAATCAAGGTTTTTCAGGAAGATTCTACAGTGAAACACAGTGTCTTTGATGCTCGTTATGCACTTGTATTTCCTCCAGGTTTTAGGGCAAAGCTGAATACCCTGGCAGGACTCTTGTACCATGTGGCAAGACTCTGAAGAATGAACAGTCTGCTTTTTCATTTAATAGTGAAACCTGTTTTTCAAGACACAGGAAGCTTAGACATGCATATATTCCCATCCACAGTTAACCAAACAAAGCAGTATCCCACACCTACCTGAGTTTGCTATATCATTTCAACCTGTTGTTCCTTCTATCCTGCCCTTGCCGGTGAACCCTTCAGGCAGAATAGTACTAAAGATCAAAAAGACTAACCTAATAAAGTCCCTGAAGAAATACAGTAATGTCTTGGTGTTTTCAGTCTTGCTTCAAAGTTGCCACTATGGCCCTATGATACTAGTGGCTCTTACTCTGCTCATAACAAGGGCAGCATGGGAATCATGAAAGCTGCCTCTTGTCTTTCACTGATACCTTTCACCTCTGTTTGTCAAAGTGTTCAAACATACTCTGCTACAAGTGAAAATACCAAAGTCTTTTTCAAACTGATTCAAAAGGCATCTTCATAAAAAGAGCTGACAGGTGACAGGTATGGTGAAGGGCAAAGGTCTCTCTGTTCCCTTTTCTCTAATAGAACCACAGCTTCTCTAACTGTGACATCCTAGTGTTACACCGCTGTGAGTGTTAAGGATCTGTTGCTGTATAGTTCACAGCTGGTCATATAAATTCCAGTTCAAAGGTTTCTTTGGATTTAATAGGTACTGTAGAACATGCAAAAGAAAGTGTTTATAAACTTCCTGTATTTTATGTAGTGGTAGACATGGGTGAGTTTGTGTTTTCTTTGTTTTTTACTGCGATGTTGCAGTGATGGCTGAAATGACAAGACAGTAGGTCACTTTTGCTTTAAATGGAAGATTTTATTGGTTTTAAAAAAATCTACTTACGTCAATCCTGAGTTTTCAGAAAACAGGGCAGAATTGTAAAATTAATACATATAGTAAGTCCTGTGATTTATTACTTGATATTTTTCTTCATATGAACATTTCTCAAGGTAAACACATGCTGCAAAACAAGTCTGTCTGAGAAAGTAATTATGAAAGCTAAGTAATCCCTGGCAGTGTTCAAGGTCAGGTTGGACAGGGCTTGGAGCAACCTGGTCTAGTGTAACTAGACAAGCTTTCAGGTCCCTTCCAACCCAAACCCATCTGTGATTCTCTGAAATACCATCCCAGATGATCTCTTAGGTCCCAAGCAAGCCACTCAAGCAATGCCATGCAGCTTGCCTGGCACAGTCTGTAAGTACAGGGGCAATTTTTGCCTGCCCTAGATCTACTGTAGCCCCCATGGGAGAAGGGACCTGTTCCTTGGATAACCCAACACAGAGCTGAACCAGAACACAGGGGCACCCCTATGTAGTTGTAGTCACCCCCTTTTAAATTGAGTTATCCTGGTTTCCTCTGAGGACCTCCTGCAACAGGTACTTACAGGAACCTGTAAGTTCCTTCTTAGAGGTTCATCATGGCCTTGTGCCCATGATGTGATTATTCTCATGGACCTCATCAGGGCTATTCTGATGTGTATTTCCTGGGGAAATTTGTCTAATCTGGGGGTCTAAATTTGTAATTTGAGGGTGGTGAGGCACTGGAATGGGTTGCCCAGGGAAGTTGTGAATGCTCCATCCCCGGCAGTGTTCAAGGCCAGGTTGGACATAACCTTGCACGACACGGTTTATTGTGAGGTGTCTCTGCCCATAGCAGGGGGGGTGGAACTTGATGATTTTAAGGTCCTTTCCAACCCTAACTATTCTATGATTCTAATAAGAGATTTAGTATTAAGATGTTAACCATACAATTCATTGAAATTACAGGTTGAAACCCAAGAAAAGTCAGAGAAGAAGCAAAAGGAAAAATTACGTTGGCTTCAGGAGCAGCTGAAGACAAAAGAAGATGAAATAAAAAGCCAGTCAGAGTATTTTGAACACTACAAACAAAGGCAGAGGCAACAAACAGCAGTGCTGAGAGAAAGGGAATGTTGCCTTCAGGATGAGGTATCTAGGCTAGAAAAGCAAGTCCTAGATCTTAGCGCCCATGTTGCTCTTTTGCTATCTGAGCTAGAAGAGGGAATGGTGCAGTATCTCCAGCAGAAGCTAGAATCAGCGTTCAGTGGGACTCAGGACTATAAACACTCTGATGTGGAAATAATGGAATTGAAAACTTGCATTGAAAATGTGGATCATGACATGAAAAGCCACCTTGAAACATTGCAGCAAAATCTGGATTTCTTAAGGGAAAAAGAAGGCATCAGAAGAGAACAGGCAGACCTGCTGAGGGAACTCCAGTGCTCTCAGGATACTGAAGACTTTCTCAGAAGAAAACTGGAAGAATCTTGCCATCATGTGTATAGTCTGAAATTATCAGAAATCAAACTGCAGGAAAAGATGGAAGAACTTTTGGATGAAAATAAGACTTTAAAAGATCAAGGTATCATGAAGTTGAAAAAGAAAGAAAAGGACTTGCAACTTACAAGATTGGAGAATAGAGACAGCAGTGTTGACCTGGTAAGCAAAAATAAGGCAGAATATATTTAGCTTCCCTCTTTATACAATCCAGAATTACAGTTGCCATTAGATATTATTGAGATGCAAGTGTGAGGCTTTTTCCTTCCTGCACTTTTTTCCTTTATGTCTGTTTATGCATTAGTACTTCACAGTGCCTAAGTCATACCCACTGGAATCAGTAGCTGGAGCTTCATTGCGTCAGTGCTTTTATTAGGTGCTCATTGAGGGAACTTCACAAGTCTTGTTTCCTAAAGTGCTCAAGTGACGTGGCCAAGGTCTCAGTTGGCACTAGAAGTAGATCCCTGAAGAAATTCTGAGACCTTTGTCTTGTGGACACCATTCAGTGGAAGAGTACACATATGGTTGGGTGAGTTTTCACATGCTATTCGTGCCCAAATGCTGAAGAAAAAACCCACAGCTGAAAATAAATCTTGTCTATGAGATTTTTTGGATAGTGGTAAACAAGGGAAGATGGATACAATATTCATTCATGGGAGTAAGTTGAGATATTCAGTGGACTGTAGTTCCATAGCTTGTGATATGCCCTGAATACACTGAATAGGACTTGTTTGCTTCAAGCACTTTGCTCCAGCATTGCATGGGAAAGCTCTGCATATGCTGGAATATGGCATTCAGCTTCTGCCAATTCATTTTGCTGACAAAGAACAATTCTTTTCACAGAGAGGACTCAAACAAAGTTTTGTTCTTTATGCACTGAGGTGGAGGGTGTTTTTATTCTGAGGATTTGTTAAATAAAGCAAAATCAGCTAAGCCTCACACTCAGCCACTCTATTCAGATTGTGGTCTGATATCCCAAGAACTCTCTTGATTTTTACTGCAGCTAACTAAGAGGTAATGGGCATGAACAAAACTCCTTTAGTATATGAGGACAATCAGGCTGTGTGTCCTTCCTGAACTGGAAGAAGGTACAGAGAATGTTTTGTCTGTAAGAGCTAGAAGAAATAAAGACAGACTTTTCAATCAGGAAGTTGAATGCACCTTTGCAAACATGGTGATTTTTAGCGGCTCTATGTTCACTCGAGGAGCCTGGCTGTGTTTGCCTGAGAAAGAGTGGTAAGATCATCCTGCAATAACCAGCAGCACATGGGTGACCTTTGTGGAGGGCTCAGCAGCTGAGCCTCACCATGTCTCCATAACTGTCCCACAGTGGCAGAAAGACTCACTGTTCTTGCTTATTTTTATACTTTCCTGAACAAATGCTACTGTTACTTTAACTGGAGACTTCACTTTTTCTGGAAAATAAAGAATAAGGTTTGGAAATATTTTAAGATATTTCTAGAGGGACTTTTACTGAGTTGTAAACAGGTTCAGCCACCAAGTGCACTCTGTGGGGGCTGCCCAGCCAAAATCGGGAGGAGCAAGGGCACCAGGGCCAGGGAAGAAGTAGAAGAGAATTGTTGCCGGTTTGAGAAAATTGAGAAAATAAGAAAATATTGAGCTATTTGAAGGTGTGAAAGTAAGATACCAACTGACTGATTGCCTGAGACTAATCAAAAAAGTCTTAAGAAACAGGACCAAATAGCTTTCATTTTATGCAGCACCCTAATAAAAGGTTACCTTTTCCTCAACACAAAGGTTTCTAATTGTTTCTTTTCTAAGTATTAATTTACAGCTTTGCTGTCATAGGAGGTTAAACTGAGTCTCAATTACCCAGTCTTTGGTATAAATGAGCAAGCCATAATTTGCATTAAGCCTGTTTACTTTGGTCTGCTGCATAGTAGGTTGCACTCCTTAGATGTGTATATCAAATCTTCTGCATTTCTGGTTGTCTTTTTCTCCTCTTTTGGTACTGCTACTGACTCACTTGGATTTTTCTAGTAGAAAATGGCTTGAGACAGCAGGGAAAAAATTCACTGTGATAAAAGGAGGAGGGAGACATCTGGTGTTGTACTGCAAAACTGAAGACTGCTTTTTCCCCTTATCTTGGTTTTTCACTAGCATCTATTAAAATAGACTTTCCTAATTGTATCACCTTGTAGTATTCAAGTCCAAATGGTTACAAGAAGAATCCTATTAATTCTCCACCAACAGCTATAAAAGTGAGAAATTGTGTGCAAAACAAGATGTTCATGCTGGTACTTTTCTGGAAAGCTGCTTGTATATAATTTTTCAGTGAAAGATTGAATGGAATCATTTGCCTATTTCACAGGACAAAAGTAATTCATGAAGACGGGCTTATCAGGCTCATGTGAAATACGCATGGTATGAGACTCCTCAGTAAATACCATGTCATTCAAATGCCAGGAATATCAGTCATTCATCAAAACTAGCCTTAGTAGTTAATTTCATCTTCTTACAATAATATCAGATACAAGCAGGTGTTTTGTTCTGGTACTGTACAAGTGAACTGCACCTCAGCTAGGAGTTTAGTCATTCAAATCTTGTTGTAAATCTGAATTTCCAAACTCAGTATCAAGATCTGTCTGCAGTATTCCAGTTGAAGCCTATGCCTGCATGAAAAATGCATGAGGAAGCACCTGGGTCCATGTGGCTGTGGCTTGACTTATCAGACAGTTTCTAGATGTGAACATTAGGGGTTTGCTGAAGGTGTTGGGGAAGAAAAAGTAAGAAGTAACTAGCCATGCACCTTTCTATAGATTTTATGTGACAGCAGAGGTCTTGATTCCACAGAATCATGTTCCTGGCATACAAGCATCGTATCCTTTACATTATTTTCTGTAACTTTTTTTCCTTTTTTGCAGAACCCATGTATCAATAAAAAGAGGATACCTGGGAAAAAAAAATAAAAGCAAACAAGCAAGAGCGGAATGAGTGTGTCCCCCAAAGGGACCAAATTTGTTTTCCACTGGCATTTAGTGTGGAACAGCTCAGGAAGACAAAAGTGAATCTGCTGGCTTGTTTTCTGTGCCATAGCTGTTTTGGCTACCACCTTGATTATGTGTTTTGTTGAGAAATTCAAGTCTGAGTCTTTTGTATACTAGAAATGAGCACAGTGCATCTGAAATATGGTCTGCTGTGTAACAGGCAATAAGGGTGTCTCCTTTGGACCAGAACTTGTCACAATTTCCAAATTCAATCAGGGAGACAAAATAAACATCAAGAACAGAATACAAAATATACAAGTAAATTATCAGTGGAAAAGAATATTTTATTTGGAACAATTATTCTCCTTTGAGTTCTTTCAGCCTAGGAACTGCTGTCTTTGTAGCTGGGCACTGAACTATTAGTCTAATCCCCAGCTTGATCGGACTTTTTCTCTTTGTTTATGAGCTTGTAGCTTAGTCTTTGTTCAGATGTTATTCCATTGTAATCGGGCATATTACATGCTTATTACTCAGATTTTTTTACTTAACTCTTTGTAAAGTATGACAGAAACAGTGGGAAGTTTAAAACCATGACATTTACTAGATAATGTTGGGATGAGAAAATTGTATGAAATGGTAACAACTATAATGAAATAATGGACCTTTGAATGCAAAATAACAAAGGAAATTTAGGTTCCTGTTTTTCATATCACAAACAAGGTGGTGACAGGTTAAACCTTAGTCAGGGGAAGTTTAGAATGGATATAATGAGGAAGTTCTTTACTGTAAGGGTGGTGAGGCACTGGAATGGGTTGCCCAGGGAAGTTGTGAATGCTCCATCCCTGGCAGCAATGTTCAAGGCCAGGTCAGACATAACCTTGGGTGACATGGTTTAGGGTGACCCTGCCCATGGCAGGGGGGTTGCAAATAGATGATCTTAAGGTCCTTTCCAACCCTAACTATTCTGTGATTCTATGAAACACTGTATATTTATAATCTATTGGATTTTTTTTTATTTCCTCCTCCTTTTCCCATTAAGAATGGAGATCTAACCCAGGATGACATTCAAACTCTGAAATGGGGAGCAGGTTTGGATTCATTCAGCAGATCTACTCAAACTCCAGTTGTGCTGCTACATGCTGAAGAATCTGGTATGAAAATAAAATGGAATTTTTGCTTTCATTTCTGTGCAATTATTATTTCATTTCAGCAAAGATTATTTCATTCACGTGGTGTGCATGACTTAAAAGGTACAAGAGCTTCTAAAAACTTAATCTGGAAACTCTATCTTGGAAAGGTGGAGCAACAACCATCTGCCAGTATAATAGTAGCATTTAGATACGAGCTTTCTCTAAGAAGGCTTAGACCTTTCAAAAGCTATAGAGATAAGGAAGTAGGGGATACTTCCCATATCATGGCTGAAGTGCAGTGTTTAGGAATGCTATGCAGCAATCAGATTTCAGGCCAAACAAAGTGAAAGCTCTGGTATTGGCAAACGTTATCAGTTTTTTCTTGTTTAATGGTGTGCCTATCTCTGCATCATTGGTGTTACGTGCCTCTGGTAAAGATGGTATTTTTGAGTATACTGTCACTAAAATACTTTTCTGTTCAACACATCTGGTAGGCTGCTTTTCAATTTGATTATGTAATTATCTGGGAATGGCGTTACACTTGTCCAGTGTTTTACCATAACAGAAACACCAGGATGCAGCTATGATGGGCTAAAACAGACGGACAAGCTACCGGAAGAACTTCTACCAGTTTTGGAACGCAATTCCAGTGCCTTTGTGAAAGCTGCTGATCTAGCTGTGGTTGAGCAGGTAAGAAGAAAAGTTACCTCTGTGGTTGTTGCATTTGTGCACAATGAGTCTGTGAATTTTGAGGTAAAATGAAAAGTTGGTGTTTTTATGTGAATATAAAAGTAGCTTTAAATTGTAGGTACTAAAGATGCCATTCAAGGTGAATGCAGGTGTATACCAAGAAAATTATTGATTTTTTTGTACCTTATTTGTATCATTACTCTGATTGCATACATTTAAATAATTTGAAAACTCTTTATATAGAAATTTTCTTATCTGTCTGTAGTCAAGTATTTTGTGGATGAAGTGAAAAATAAATTATGATTAGCAACATAGAATGATATATCCTAGTTTATATTTTTTCAGCTTGAAACATTCCTCTTTTGCTATTATCAGGTCCCCCTTGGAACAAAGACAGCACGTACTCTAGAAAATAGTTTCACTTTGTCCAGATGTATTCCAAGTTATTTTGCAGCAAGACTGCTTCCCACTTGCTCTGAGAAGTTAACTTATGATGAGACAAGTAAGGAAACAAAAGGTGAAGAAAATCTTCCTGTCTTGAAGGAACAAGCTATAAACCTATCAGCAGATACATTTCCTGTTTCTGTGGTTGAATCTTTGATGAAGAAGAAGCTCCAGCTTACTTTGCTAGAACCTGAAATCTACCACGTATCGGCTGTCACCACTGTGAAGAAAGTGAGGAGTTTGGATTTCTGTGAGGCAAATACCAGTCTTTGCTCTGATGGCTTCTGCCTTGTTGCAGAAGGAGCATTTTCTGACCAAGTTTTTGCATTTATTCATGGAAAGATGCCTTCCACTTTGAGTGAAATCTTCACATCATTTTTAGAAAAATACAATGTGGAAAAACATTGGGAAAATAAGCAAATTCTGTCAAAAAACATAGGTGAAACTAAATGTCTGGATAAAGATGCTGATGATGGAAATTATCACCAAAAAGTCTTTAGAGGGAGACTTAAAGGAGAAGAAATAGAGAATGAGGAAGCCCAACCACAACAGGTGACCTGTGTTCCTGAGGAAAGTTCTAAAGTTTTAAGTAAAACTGAATTGATCAGGTCTAGGAAGCAAGAAATCAAAGACAGCCTAAGTGGCTCACAGGATATACAAAATTTGTCTGTTGCTTTTAAAGACTTAAAGAAGCATTCTGAAGCGAGCCCTAAACTAATGGAGGAACAAGGAAATCTCTCAGAAATCTGTGTTTCTGATGTGAATAGGGTATATAATGGAGAAGACATAATCAAAATGGAGGAGAAAGAAGAGCAACCTCAGAAACCAACTCACCAAACAAACCCTTCCAGCAATATTGGCCTGAAAGAAAAAAAAGACCAGACCCTAAAACTATGTAAACCGAACGAGAAGAATTTGTCATGTCAAAAAATAACGTCTGAAAACATGCAGTATGAATACTCTCAGAAATATTTTTGGTCAGAGGAAGAGAGGAATCTGCTAAACACGTGCTCTCCTATGCAGGAGAGGGCTGTGTGCTTAAACAAACTGCCCCTGATAGGGAGCAATTTTTATGAGAGTTTCTGTCACCTGTCACCACTTGAGGCTGGTAATGAATGTAGCATGAAAATATATGCACTGGAGAAGGTGGTGGCTGTGTGTTCTCAGAGGATATTTGTACTGATGCAAGAGAATGAAAATTACTCAAAAAAGGTCTGTATATTACAAGAGGAGAATGAGAGATATGCTCAGATGATGCGTGCACTGCAGGAGGAGATGGATGCATATTTTCAGTGCATGTTGGCCATAGATGAAGCTAACATTGTTTCATTCCAAAATTTGCTTAATGAGAAAGAAATTGCTGGTGGATGTTATAACTTAGCAGAAGAAAACACCATAAGCTCAAGAGCATTTACTGTTGAAACTTTCTCCAAGAACCCCTCATGTATTGAAAAGAAAAATAAGAATTCTGAAAAAGACTCAAATAAACTTTCCAGGAGTGTTTTATCCATGGATGGCAGCAAAACAAAGTATTTCCAGATGCTCTCTGATCTGAAAGAGGAAAGAAGCAGATGTTTCAAAGAAATAGGTAAATTATTACAAGACAAGGAGAACTATGTAGCAAAATATAATGAATTAATCCAAGAGGAAGAGGGTTATTTACAAAGAATATCTCTTTTAGAACGTGAAAAAGAAACTTTACTGGGACGTTTGGCAGAGGTGAAGTGTGAACGAGACAAACACAGGACCCTGGTTTCAGAACTTCAAGAGTGCAAAAGCAGCTGCTATCAAACTATTTCTGATTTACAGGAGGACAACTGTGTACTGAAAAGAGAAATAGACAGAATCAGGAAAGAAACTTCAGAACAGCTTGATGAAATTCAGAAAGCAAATGCAAACTTTATTTTAGAAAACAAGAAATTGAAAGAATTAATGTCACCTTTGGGCGTCACCTATGAAGAGCTGAGAAAAGATAAAAGCTTGGGAACAAAAGAAAAGATAATAAGACTAGAAGAAAAAGGTCAACAGTGTGATCTTAAGCCAAAGAAATTTGAAACAGCATGCAGTGTAACTCAGACTGAAGAAGGAGGAGTTCTGGTTGTAGCCCCATCAATCTATTATCCCAGAACAGAGGTAAGTAGTAACAGTGAGGAATGTTATCAAGCAAGATCTCTGAAAGGGGGAAATATAAATGTCATTCAGAGGGCAAAACTAAATTAACTTCATAATCTAGAAAATGTTTTAGCCTCCATGTGCTGGAGATCTGAGGTGCTAAAGTTAGATACGCTTGAAATCAAAAGGAAAATACTGGTTTATTTCGGCACCTTTTACATGAGATTTTTGCCGTGATATTTATAAATACAGCAAGTTACAAAGTTAAGAATAATACTTCAAAGATTGCATTGTTCAGGAATTAAAAAAATTAATTATTTTACTGCAAAAGTAAAAGCTTCTGGTAGAGCAAAATAGTCCACAAACTTCTGTTACAATGGTGAAATATTCAGGCTTGAAAAACTAATCACATCTTATTGAAAAGTATGCCCATGTTCACTTACCTGCTTTTGTTTGATAGGGTCTATTTTTTTTTTTTTATTGTTTTGATTTTTATTAAACATATCACAGTATCACAGTATGCTAGAGATTGGAAGGGACCTCAAAAGATCATCTAGTCCAATCCCCCTGCCAGAGCAGGAACACCTAGATAAGGTTACACAGGAATGTGTCCAGGTGGGTTTTGAATGTCTCCAGAGGAGACTCCACAACCTCCCTGGGCAGCCTGTTCCAGTGTTCTGTCACCCTCACTGAGAAGAAGTTTCTTCTCAAGTTTAAGTGGAACCTCTTGTGTTCCAGTTTGTACCCATTGCCCCTTGTCCTATCATTGTTTGCCACTGAGAAGAGCCTGGCTCCATCCTCGTGACACTCCCCCTTTATATATTTATATACACTAATAAGGTCACCCCTCAATCTCCTCTTCTCCAAACTATAGAGACCCAGCTCCCTCAGTCTTTCCTCATAAGGGAGATGCTCCACTCCCTTAATCATCTTAGCTGCCCTGCACTGGACTCTCTCCAGCAGGTCCCTGTCCTTCTTAAACTGAGGGGCCCAGAACTGGACACAATATTCCAGATGAGGTCTCACCAGGGCAGAGTAGAGGGGAAGGAGGACCTCTCTCGACCTACTAACCACCCCCCTTCTAATACAACCCAGGATGCCATTGGCCTTCTTGGCCACAAGGGCACAGTGTCGGCTCATGGTCACCCTGTCGTCCACTAGGACCCCCAGGTCCCTCTCCCCTACACTGCTCTCTAACAGGTCGTTCCCCAACCTATACTGGAACCTGGGGTTGTTCCTGCCCAGATGCAGGACTCTACACTTTCCCTTGTTATATTTCATCAAGTTATTCCCCGCCCAGCTCTCCAGCCTGTCCAGGTCTCTCTGGATGGCAGCACAGCCTTCTGGCGTGTCGGCCACTCCTCCCAGCTTAGTGTCATCAGCAAACTTGCTGATAGTACACTCAATTCCCTCACCTAAATCATTGATGAATATATTAAATAATACTGGTCCCAGTACCGACCCTTGAGGCACTCCACTAGATACAGGCCTCCAACTGGACTCCGCCCCATAGACTACAACTCTCTGGCTTCTCTCCTTCAGCCAGTTCACAGTCCACCTCACTACCCGATCATCCAGACCACACTTCCTCAATTTAGCTGCGAGGATGCTGTGGGAGACTGTGTCAAACGCTTTGCTGAAGTCAAGGTAGACCACATCCACCGCTCTGCCATCATCCATCCACCGTGTTATTTCCTCATAAAAGGCTACGAGATTGGTCAAGCATGACTTCCCCTTGGTGAAGCCATGTTGACTGCTCCTCATAACCCTCTTATCCTTGATATGCCTTAAGATGGCACCAAGGATAAGGTGTTCCATCACTTTCCCAGGAATGGAGGTGAGGCTAACCGGTCTATAGTTACCCGGGTCCTCCTTCTTGCCCTTTTTGAAGACAGGAGTGACATTTGCTTTCCTCCAGTCCTCAGGCACCTCTCCCGTTTCCCAAGACTTGGTAAAGATGATGGTGAGTGGTCTAGCAATGACTTCTGCCAGTTCCCTCAGCACCCGCGGGTGCATCCCATCTGGACCCATGAATTTATGGATGTCCAGATTGCTCAACTGGTCTCTAACCCATTCCTCATGGACTAAGGCAAACCGCTCCATTGACCTGACTTCATCTGAGGTCTCAGGGCTGTTGCTCTTTCCTCTTCACCCTTTTCCCTTGCTTCAGCTTGGAGCAGTCGTATCTGTGGGAGACCTTGTGGTGGGTCTGATAGACCTGGCTGGAACTGGTTGTACCTATCACGGGGCAGCCCCACAGAGGCTCTGTGTCAGAGAGGCCCCACAGAGACTTCTCCCTGCAGTCCCTTTCCATCCCCTGGGTACCTGCACCCCGTCGACCTTTCCAGAGACTGGTATCAGAAGATATGCCTAAAGAGAGGATCTTTACTTGAAGTGGATTTCTTGTCTTTCCTTTAGAGGAATTTCTATGAAGATTACTGTGTTCTTGTTAAAACAGAATTATTACTTCAGCTGAGAACAATCAACAGGGAAATATTGATCTTTAATATCTTGATTTTATGCAAATGTTTTTTAGTAGTTCAGGAAGAAACAATATGTTGCTCTTTAAAAACCTGTGTGCCATTCTGTATGGGCAAGAGGAGTCACATCTTTCTGTTGTGTATCTAGGGCAGCATGTTTGAAAGCTACAATGTCATGAAAGAGCAAGTTGAAAAGGCAAAAGAGGATCTAAAAATACAGCAAAAGGAATTAGAAAAATCAAAAAAAGAGGTAATCTGCTGCTCTGGTGTAAATCTGTTTTCTTTCTTGTTTTCTTACATGCCTGTTCTTTCTGCCAGGATTTAACAAGGATGTCTCTGATTTGCAGAACCAAAAATGTACCACTTTGATCTTTCAGTTAAGTGATGAATTGCACAATTATTTGTGGTTGGCTGGAACTTCAAGTGAAGTTGAATTCCTCCACCACTCTGACAGAAGCTGAGTGCTTTATTAAGCACTCAGCTTAATAAAGATACACAGAACAAACCATCTGCTGCGGCCATCTCTGGGCAGGCTGCTTCCCTCCCCCTCACTAGGAATGAGGAGGAGTAGAAGCCAGTAGAAGCACTGAAGATTATGGGAAACCTGAATTCAAAGCAGTATTTGAATGAGAACCAAAATGATGTAAAATCTGACACTGTCAAGGTGTCTCAGTATCCCCAGTGATGGTGCAAAACATGTACACTGCCCCTTCTCTCAATCTCTTTGTAGTAAACATGAAGTCCAACACCATCTACGTGGAGACTTGTTCGGATGGCTAGTTCTGTGACTGTGTAAAGTAGATCTGCAGTTTTGATACCAACCGAGGAAGGTTTCAGTATTGTGCCTTTATAAATGCAGTAGCTTTCACATTCCTGCATTTCACTGAACCATCTCCACCCTGTGCTAGTCTAAGCAGAATGTATTGCTTTTGTGACAAGTGTATATTTATGGGGCTGTTTCATGCAATAGCAGTCATTGCTCAGACTCCCTATGGAAAAAGCACTGGCAGTAGCAAGTGTGTTGAATATGTAAAAGAGCAGTAGACTTAAACATGGTGGGTGTACAAAATGGTTGTCCTTTCACAGATGCATGATAAGGCTTTCCCAGGTGAGGCAACTAGAATGAAGGGGTGGATATGGATAACTAATGGTGGTTGGGTAAGGACTTCTGACCTTGTAATTTGAACATGAAGAAGTCATTTGAAATTTTACTTATTTTAAAAAATCTTTTAATTTGGGTCCTTTCTAACCTTTTTGTGTGATCCAGTGAAGTTGTGTATTACATCTTCCTCAGTTTACTTAAAAGAATGCAAAACCTTTGCTTTCAGAAGAGGGAAGGAGTTGTCTATTATATAAAGGAAAGATCTCGCTGTCAGGCAACCAGGTGTTTTATTGATATACAGAAAATGTGTAAAGTGGAGAAAATGCGTTCTAGGAAAAATGTAAAGGTGAACATATGGAATGTTGTGGGGTTTTTTCTTTTCCTCCCTTGCATTTTTCTTTTTTGACATTCTTAGGAAGATCCCCCCTCTCCCCCAGCTGATAAATCTTACTTTCCATTTTCTCTGAGTGCTTTCAAAGATGTAATCTCTAAGAGGGTGAGTGCATCACCACTGCATTTAATTTTTTTTAACTTTATTCAGAATACTCAAGGTAACTTCAAATTTAGAAGTCAATTTAAAAATTAGTCTATTTTTCTGCATAGCTCTAGTTAGTTAGGTTTCTATAGCACTTAGAAGTATTACTCATTTGTTGTAATAAAATTGTAGTGAATTATGTAATCCCATTTATTTTAATCAATTTACAATAATTTAAAATTTGCGATGTGGAGATCAGACTTAAGTCCATGGTCATACGCTATTATTGAAAAATGATATCACTGTTAATTATACTCAGTAGTTTTGCTCTTTTATTCTTTCCACTAGGCTCAAAGGTGGTACAGAGAACTTGGCTTTGCTGAAACAAGATACGAAGAAATCAGAACTCGTTTGACACGGACTCTCTCAGAATTAGACCATCTTAAACAAGAATCTGGGAACAAAATGCTTGGTAAACAGCACTGCAAATTAATGGTATGTATGTAAACAGAATAGAGAAAAGCATATTCCTTGGGAGGGAGTGTCTTGCATGCAGAGATACCCTTTGTTTCTATTGGCAATACATTTGAAGCAATTATAGAGCACCTAGAGCCACTGGAGCTATAAACTTGAAAGTGAGCAGATATTATGGCCATCTGTCTACTGGATAGTCCAAAGTCTGAGCTGTGCTTGAGCATTATAGACACCTTCATTTATTTGTAAGAGGATTCTTGTCCTGCTTTCTTTAGCCAGAATAATTTTCTGAGGTTTGGATTTTCAGGTGGCCTTAATGAAAGGTGCTGAAGGTCTGTCCTCTGTCCTCTGCAGCAGGAAAGCTGCAAGGAAGAAACATGCAGCTTTCATCAGCTGGAAAAGCAATTTTGTAGCAACCTATAATATTTGCAAATTCAGTTTGAACAGATTAGATAGATATGGCTTTGGAAGAAAATAAAAGCAAAATCTGGAAAATGTAAAGATTCTGGGCTCAGTTCAGCCACTCTTTCTCTCATTGAAATGCCTTAGGGCATCCCTACTGAGGGTGTAGTTGGCCACCTGCAAATCCTGTGCAGTTATATGCTATAACTTTGTATACCCTAAGTGGCACTATGTGCTGACATGACAACTGAATTCCAAACGTTAATTGAAAATGAAGCACAGATTTTTCACATCATTATGGTATGCCGGCAAGTAACATCTTGGAACAATGTATTGAACTGTTTCAAGTAAGAAGAAGAAACTCCCAGACAGACTGTTTGAAAATGAACAGAAGTGTATCCTAAGGTTTTGATTAAGCTAACGCTTAAACTTTCGGGAGACATTTTTGAGCAATGGAACTTTAACCCTTTTGTTTGGAGACAGTCTGTGGCAATTATTGCTTAGGTCAGTGTAGTAAGATGTTAATTATTTTGATGACCTACCTTGGCATAAAATTCATCCTTCTTGACAGAGTGTTTTTATACCGGAAAAAAACATAGGTCAGCCTTTCTTCTCAAACAAACAAACAAACACCCCCCCCAATAACAAAACCACAAAAACAAATCCCAGGCAAACAAAAAACATCACACACAAACGCACTTTTAAATCCCTCCAAGAACTAAACTTCTCATGTTGGTGCTTATTGATCAGTAGTATATATTTATGCAATATTCTGATGTGGTTTGATTTAGATCTCACTTTGCAATATGATTTCATTACTTGTTCCAGTGTTAATGTCAAATTGTTGAATACATGCGTCTCATTCCAGGGTCAAAATCACGGTGTATGTAGGTCACAGCACCAGGTGCATCCTTCGGTTACACTATTTGATGGCATAACTAATTATCTGCATGACTCAAGTCTGTTATGTCCTAATCAAATTATATTGATTTTATTGGCACAATTAAGCAAATAGCACAGACAGAAAACAGAGCAGCTATATTTTAACGAAGGTTGTGTATTTTAGTAATTCTCTTTTAAAATAAACTCTTTCATATGCACCAAACTATCAATAGTGGGTTTGTGTGAAATTGTTGAGATATGACAGAAGTTTTTCTAGATTTTTTTTAAAAAAAGGACTTTTTGGCACAATGGTTATCATAATCTACTTTTCTAGCATAATTTTTCTTCCTGAGGGCAATCTTGTAGACTGGTGATACTGCTATTTTTAGTTAGTTGCCACGTTGTCCAAAAATGCTTTTCATCCCAAGAGGCTATTAAACTCTGATACAGTAAATCACAGTAATTTATGTTTTTCCTGTTTTAAGCTCTATGATCTGAAGATCACTGTCTGTGATGCTTGACTGATATGAATAACTGAAGATGCAAGCACTCTAGACTTAGAACCCAACGTCTTTCAGAACTGTGTTTTATCTTTAAACTTTAAGCAATTTTTTAATTTTTTGACTACTTTTTCCATTAAGATCTTCAGTTAAGGAATGTTTCCTTTTCCTATTTTACATACTTTTTGTGTAGAAAGAAGACAAGGAAAAATACCATGTCTTAGACTCCTCCTCAGGTTTTTGCAACCCTTGTCTAATCAATCTTAACGTGTCCAACAGTCGCTATTGTTCTTTTAACACAAGAGGGAGCCAAAAAGTTTGTTACAAAGCATGAATGATTTGCTGGAATGCTGTGCATAGAGGTCTTTCTTCATTAGGAAGGACAGTAGGAAAACGTCATATTTCTGTTTTGAGCTGTTCTGTAACAATGTGTTGCAACGTGGTCTATCACTTCAGTTGGTGACTTTCCATGAAATGGTGCCTTCAGTATTTTGTAATCACCAAAAGTGTCAAAGTTGGAAAGGCTGTCAGAAGCAAAGGAAAATTTAACTGTGGTGTTGTGCATCACAGCAGACTATTAGTTCTATCAGAGTTAGTGGCACAGTTTAAGCCCAGCCAGCAACTAGGTTGCACAGCCTCTCAGTCACTTGCCTCACTCCCAGTGGGATGGGAAGAAAAATCGGGGGGAAAAAGGCAAAAATCCCCAAGGGTTGTGATAAAACAGGTTGCATAATTAAAATGAAGTATAATAATAGTAATAATAATAGGAAATAGAATGGAATAACGCCCTCCCCCCCCCCCCAAAATAAAAGCAAACAACAACCCTAAATCAACAGTGATGCACAATACAATAGCTCGCCCCACACTGGGTTATACCCAGCCAGTCCTGAGCAGTGATCAGCCCCTGCCAGCCAACTCCCTCCAGTTTATATACTGGGCACGATGTGCTGTGGTATGGAATACCCTTTTGGGTCAGGTGTCCTGTCTCTGCTCCCTGCCAGCTTCTTGTGCCCCTCCTCACCGCCAGAGCATGACAGACTGAAAAGTCCTTGACCAGAGTAAGCACCACTCAGCAACTAAAACATGGGTGTGTTATCAGCATTATTCTCAGACTGAAGCTGAAAACACAGCACTGCATCAGCTACTAGGAAAAAGATCTATCCAGATGAAACCAGGACAAGTAGTAACCATTAAAATCAAACCATCTGCATGTTTTCTTAGAAGGTTACATGGTTTTACTGCAGTATGTCACGGGTCTGACTAGGATTTTTAGCTTTAATCACTTAAAATGCTTAATCTTTTAGACTTGCTTATATTATCAGAAATCTTGAGCAGCTGTGTGTTTCAGCTCAGTATTTTGTTAATATAAGTTCACAATAGCATAAATGTTTTTCACAAGACTTTCTTCACTCTCAGATTTTCCTTAGATTCTTGATCTATTGTTTAATCTGACAGTGTCACTTGTAGGCACTGACTTTATGATGCTCACCATCAATCTAAAGCTCTCACTAATCCTTTCAATCCAAGTGCATAAAATTGAAAGAAAAAAGAATTGGACAGCAACAGGGAATTACATTAAGGAACTCCTCCTTCCACTTGTTCTATAACACCATTACTACATTTTATTGTAATGAATCTTTTCTTTGAAAAGATTTGTGAAATTTATACTTAAAATCTGATTAGTTTTATTAATAATCTTCCAAAAGAAAAACATAACTCATTAAGTGGAATTTGTTCTTTGAGCTAAATATATGTAGAAAAACAAGGGGCTTGCTATACAGGAGTTGTAGTAGGAGACTGGTGACATCGGAGCACTCTGCTTACTTGCTGGGTGAATAAAATCCCAGTCCTGTATCTGCTGTCACAGGGGACCAAGAACTCCTTGCTCATAAACAGTTTTAAGATTAGTGCAAGATATTAGTGCTAATACGTTTATGAAGGTTTGAAGTCATATGTTTTATATCAGATTATTCTTTTCATGTGCACGGTAGGTCCTCAGTGTTGATTGAGAAGTTTTCTGCTCTAAAACATGACTAAGAATATTTTCCTTGTTCTATACATTTAATCTAAAAATCTGTGCATTCCCTCTCTAGTCTGTGCACACTGTGAAAGATGCCCAGGAAATAGAAGAGAATAAAATAGCCAACAAGAGATTACAGCACCAAGTTCTGACCTTGAAAGCACAGCTCAGGGACCAGGCTGCATTAGAAAATCAATGTCATGACTTGCAGAATGAAGTGGAACTCCTTCAGGCTCAGTTGTGTCAAAAGGTACCTTAAACCTGTTTTCTGTGTCCTTAAGTGGGTGGATAAATACGAGTTTAGCCTTCAGATTCTACATCTTTCCTCTCTAAGGAGAGAACCAAAATAGTCTTTCCTGGGAATGAGTCTGAGGATAATTAAATGGTTTCCAGGCATAAGAAAGTACCCCTGACTTGAGAGAAATAAGAAGAAGATGTAAACTGCCTGGGTGGTCAATGTTATGGAAAGATGATACCCTACAATAAAAGTTGCTGCCAGTCTCTGCTATAATCCCCATAGTGTAATGCAAGTGAAATGGTGCTGAAATTCTTTACAGAGCCACCTCCTTGGCTTAAATTGTCAGGATTTTTAACATTCCCACCTCTCTTGTTGCACTACATCAGGTTAGGAAACACAATGAGTTAGTGATAGAGCTTTGATGGATTTTTTTTCCAACTTTTTGATCCAGCTGCTAGGATTGAACATTCTCAGTTAGATGTGTGGTTGGTATTTCTATTAATTTACATAGTTATTCTGATGAGAGCTCCCATATATACACAAATATACTTACATTAGCAGTTTTTACACTTGTGCATTACATTTCACCTGGCAAACCAGAGCAAGCACAGACATTAATATTTGCTAAGCTACTGCTTTACTGTGTGACAGCCAAGTTACTGCTGTCAGTATGAATACAAATACTGAACTCAGGTGGAAAAAAAGTCCTGCTAGGGCCTTTTCCCCTTAGATTTTGTTTTCTATGTGTTTGGAAACTAGTTTTCAAAAAGGAGTGATAGTTAACAGTGTGAGCCAAATTGGAATTTCCTGTCATAATCTGAAACAACTAGTAAACAGCATTTTCTCAATGGTATTCTTCACACTTGAGGAATCTTCATACAATGCATAGAGCATGCTTCTCCCCTCTCTTTCCCCTGAAATAGAAGAAATTACTTTCTTCTCTCTAGTGGGTGCAAGTTTCCGTCATAAATCCACATGTTCTACAGTTTTGTTGGTTTTCGATTTGTTTTCAATTTCTTTTCCTAGCCTTGTCAAATGCTGTGATTTGCTTTAAACCAGTCCTGTACAGAGGGTTAGTGGCTTTTCTCAGACATTGACACCTCTTAGCAGAATAGGGGTGGTAAAATAAACTTGTTTTGATAGTGTCTGGTGTCTGTAGTGAAGAATGGTGCATATCAGATGATAGGTTAGTAAAAGGTGAGATGTTCTATCCATATAAATGGGCAACTTCTAACTGCTCTATTGCATTAACAAAATGTTTTGTTCCATACCTCATCAAGAATTGAATTTCACCAGTGCAGAGACCAACTGCCAAGCTTTTTTCTCCCAGTGCTAGTGCAATGTACTGACATGTCTCTCCTGTCCTATCTACTCTGTTTCTTCCCAAGCCCACAGTTTATTAGCTGAGGACCATGAAATATTTTTCAGCATAATTGAACTTTTGTAATAGGAGTCTTTTTCTGATGTGTATATCTACTGTAGGCTTTATAGAAATACAAACTGCCAAGCAAAATTAATGCAAAAGAATTTGTACTTTTTTTGCCTAATAATCATAATAATAATGGCAAATAATATGTAATAGAAGTGGATTTTCCTGGTGGGATATTGTATTTTTTTCTACATAATCAGAAAGCAGATTTCCAAGAATAATAACTATTTTAATCCTAAGGTACAAACTAGGTCATCTGGTTTATGTCCTACTAGATGTCATGCACTGATTGTGTCAGTGTAGGAAGTTGTTGATGTTCACTTTTCAGGGCCTGCCATGGAATATGCATGACAAAAATCCCTCCTTGTTTCTCTCATTCTACAATGTAATTTAGATTATAAGAGGGGAGATTTTCCCCAAAAGTGGATTTTAGAAGATTCACAGAGTAAACAGGAACATGAGTGTGCAATGAAGGATACCATGTCTTTACTGTGATGGTGCTTTAATGAAATAACCCCACTGATATAGAGCTCCATCTGAAAATATCCAAAAGCCTTTATTAATACATAAGATCAACATTAATGCTAGTGGGGTAGTGGTTGTGTCCCAGGGCCTGTCTGTGTACAGTCAACTCCTTACATTGCTTCACCTTGTTTGGATACAGGGTCACACAGGAATGCAAAGCATACACTTCAAAGCTGGGACTAAAACAAACACCAAAACCTGGTACACTATTTCAAAGTGACTATTGAATAAATTAATGCAGAATGTTTTCCAAACTTTCAGGAAAAAGAACTTCAGAAGAGAAAATCTGAAATGAAGCTGACACTAGCTCCTCTGAAGGTACTGTATTCTCCTGAAAGCAGGTGAAGGACCTACACCGTAGTTTATCCTCTGCTTAAGGACTTCTTTCTGTGCATGCACCTGCCCTCTGCAGCTGTCCCTGACCTAGCTGTTTGCTAATGGTCTTTAGGCTTTAAGCAAGAGCTTGCTCACATTATTGCCTTGGGTACCCTTCAGCCTATCAAAAGGGGGCCTTGCACATGGAAAAGAAACAACTCTTTCCAGTTTACCTGTGTGCATGTACTGCAAGGTGCGGAGGCATCTAATAGCTTAGAAACATAAGAATGTAATCTGTATATTTGGGTCAAAATATATGAAATTACAGGTCAGACACAAAATGTAACCTTGTAGCCAGAACAGGGAATGAAATCAGTGTATATGTATGTGTTCATGCCACATAGGCTAAGCTGGCTTGCCTCACCCGAAAGTGCCAGGAAAGGAACAGCTTTATCACAAGGATGCATGGTGAATTTCACAGGCGAGGAATTATTAATCCTGCATTTGATGAAGAGGTGAAAAACTTGGTGAACGACATGGCCCTGGCGGAGTACACAGTTGCTTTTACATCAGTGTGTGACCAATGGGTAAGTGTCTGTACTTCCTTGGAGGATCCTCCCATTTCTACTATTGTACTGATTATCTTTTTAAGTATTTAGTGAGACTCTGTGGGTCTGAGTTATAAAACATATTTATAGTAAGTGATAAAGTATTGCTTCAAATAAGTCCATGGAGTTGGCTGCTTTGCTTCTGTTTAGGTCAGGATTTAGATCTGGAGTTCATTACAAAGTATATCAGTGCTCCATGCAGAAACGCTTTCCTGTTATTTTGATGAAGTACCCAAGTGGATAACACAGCAAATATTCAATTCCACTTTAAATATCGATAATTTTGCATTTTCTTCCTGCACTGTCTCAGATTTCTGTAGAAATCAGAAGAAAAAGAAAAAGCCTGCCATGAATCATTTTAAGATTTAAGTCAGCTCAGTTGATAGTCAGCTTCAAAAGGGAGTTAGCTACTTGTGTTTTGCTGGGAAGGTGAAAGTGGTTCCAGAAGGATTCACTCTGCTTCACACCTGGTTCTGTTCAACATTACCATTAATAGCTTGGGTGATAGAAACATACTTCATATTTTTGGAGTAGCACCTACTTGAAGACATTCTGAAGGAGAGGAATCTGAATCTGGCAACCTGAAGAAGCAGGAATTCCGTTGCAGTACTTCAGCAAACTTCCAACAATCTTCTCCCCACCCCCTTTAATTTTCTCTCATTATTTTAAACAAAGCCTGTAAAAATACCCAAACAGTATTTGTTAATGTTTGTCTCAAGTACACTCATATAGAATCTTGCTAGTTAGAAGGGGGAAAAAGTATCTTGTGCTACACATTTGTGTTGAGGAAGTGGCTGCCTGCCAAACGTAGGTTTGTGCTATGCTTTGTACTTCAGCTAACAAAATGCACTGCAAAATGCCTACATAAAAATGATACTGGCACATTTTAATGACACTATTTTTCATCAGCAGAAGATGCTCAGAATACAGTATAGCATATCTGCAGGATTATTTTTCTGATTATATTACATTTTTACGCACAGAGTGGCATTCTCTACCACTGAAGAAATTTTTTCTTCTAGTGTTATTAAGTGTTGCAAGCTATAATTCAGTTGTATTTGTTTCTGTGGCAAGAAGTAATGTAATTACATTTTAAGGAAAAGGTAGATTGATTCCTGGTTGCAGGATGAGACAGGATTCTTTGTCTGGCTGTGTCTGAGTATGGCAGGTCTGGACCCACCGCTGTTTCACTCAAGCTCACACTGAGAATGAATGTTTCATGTGACAGTAGTTAGTAACTCATATGTCAGAAGGGAGATAATATTTCACTGCCTCAGACATTTTCTCAGACATCACTATGATAAATGAGTATTAGTGTAAAGCTTCCCAAGACAGTAAATATCAAAATATGACGTACCCTCACACTGTCTCCCTTAACACAAAACCTAGCAGCTCCAACAGGAGAGAATTAGATTGAATCTATATTCTGATGGCCAGTGAGTTCATCTGCAATGTAGGAGCCCCACATTCAATAAATATTTGGTTATTCATATTAAGTCACAAACTCCATCCCATAGTACCCAGCACTGCAGTGATCAGAGGTCTCACTCAGGTTCGGGCATGCTGATGTTCAAGCCTGGTTTTTCTGATCAGGCAGAGAACAGACTGGCTCTTGCTGGACACCTTGGCACTGAGTTTTAGACCATTCTGGTCTGTGGTAATTAATTCCGTGTGTAACAGGGGAATACTTTCCTGCTAAGGCTAATCTTTATGTTCCCATGAAAAAATTAGGTTTCCATGGATCAGTTTTCCAATGGAAAACGTTTCAGTGAGAAAATGTCCAAGCGTCACCACTCTTAATTTAATAAATAATGGTTACAGTGAAAGAGAGTTTACTTCTTATTCTTGTGATATGTTCATTTGGTTTTAAAAATCCTGTACTGAATTATGTAGACATATGTTAAACTGAACCAACTTTTCATCTTTGAGTGTTCATTTTTTTAGTGTTTCAACTCTGTTCTCACTGGAATTCACATCTAATATTCCAGAGCTATGCCCAGCTTTTGCTTACATAAAACTCCTTTGAAAGCTCATTCCTTCCTCCCCCTCAGTTTTTCACTTCTAAATCATTCCTAAGATTTGACCACTTCTAGAGAAAACCTGGTGAATTGATACTGTGGAGGTGGTGGTCTTTTCCTTTCTTTAATTAAAGATTTGCAATTGGCTTTGCTCATTTCTGGACCCAGTGACAAATGGAAGCCTGTCACTCATTGGCAGCAGACCTGCTTGCTTTGGGTAAATGATGAATTTCAACTGAAAGTTTGCAGTGATGCATGAAGAGCTGATCCAGAGCCCTTTGAAGGGAAAAGGGACTCTCTATTCAATTCAGTGCCTGGCCTACTGTAGCTTAGTAAAAAACTTTGTGTCTGATTCTCAGAGGAAAATAAGTTTTAAAATTCTTTCAAGAGCTCTTTCCATCTGTACATGGAGTTACATATAGAGGGGATAGAGCTGTGTGCTAGGGAGTTCCAGCTTTGATAGAGGGCTTATGGGCATCAGCAAATTACTCATGCTCATAGACAGATGTGAACTTCATGTTTTGGCTTATTCAGGACACAACTGATGTCTGTTTATTCCCTTCTGTTTGCCAGAAGTATTTTTTTCCTAATCCTCATCCCAGTTAAAATACTAAACCATGAAGACAGTGTCATGCAAAACTTATCATCTTTGAGCCTCTCTTCAGATTTCAGTTTCACTTTCCAAGACTGTTCTCAGACACAATAAATCACTGTTGTCCCAATGGCTTCATTTCGCTGATTTGTGCTAACTCAAGACTTCAAATCAGTTCAGTTTAGGTGAACAGCAAACATTTTGAGTTCTGTCATTCATGGTTCTTTTCATAGCCCAGTGTTACATTCAAATGGTTTTGAATGAGAAATAAAATTTGCTTGAATCATGCAGTACCTTGTGATTTTGTTTCAGCAGGGTACTCTGCTCTGAGGCCAGATATATGTTAGAGTAATATGCTCAGAAAAGAAAGTCAGTTTTCCTTCTCTTAATGTTCTTTCCTAGTCCCTGTGAAGAGGACTAGATTTTAAATGATATTTCTTCACCATAAAACTGTACACCATGAAGCTGTTTATTTATAATTTAGTTTAATAAAGTAATCTAGTGTAATTTAATTTAATTTAGTTTGGTTTATTATAATGAACACATACAATTGCACAGAAGGGGTTTTATTTCAATTCTTTCTCATTCAGAAGAAACACCAAGCAAAAATTTTGTGCAGGATGGTAAAGAAAAGATGACTAAGATTTGAAAGAAATAGTATTTTGAGGAGCCATAGTAATGACAATGGCTAATATGGATTTGAAATTTTTGGAGGCATAAGTTAACTTCCAAACCTTTGTCATAGATTTCCCTTTAAAAGACCTAAACAGAGAAACCATTAGAGCCCCTTGTAGTGGAGCAATAATAAATTTGGGCAACTGAAATGGTTAAAACCTTTTGTCTTATTTTGTGTTTGGAAAATGAAATGCATTTGTCTGAAGAGGACACAACCCATGGGTAAGGGCTGCCTCCAGCAGGTGCTCATGGCACTCGGCACAGTGCCACAGCTGAGGTTAACATGCCCAAAGTCAGACATGGAGCATGTGGACATTTCTAGCCATTTATCATGTCCCATTTTAATCATCTTTTCTTAAATGTTGTTTTCTTTCAATAGAAAGGCCTTGGCCTCATCTTTTTTCCTTCCTGTTGTGGAATTAATTCATGAACATTATTTACAGTTATTGTTTTTCTGTCTTTCCCAGTGGAAAGGACATATGACAGCATTCATCAAATGACGTTAGATATTCATGTTCACTAAAGAGCTGACAAAAAGGACTGTGACTAGGCTTTGCAACAGCTGCTTTACTTGAACTGGTAACAGCAGGAAACAAGAGAAGATGCTCCAGATAAATAATATGAAATCCAAAAAAGTAGGCTCCAAGTGTTTAAGGTGAGGTGGGATGGGGCTTTAAGCAACCTGGTCTAATGGAAGTGTTCCTGCCTGTGGCAGGGGGGTTGTAACTAGGTGCTTTAAGGTCCCTTCCAACCCAAACCATTGTATGATGATTCTATGATTTATATTTTCTTTCCATAGTGGGTCTGAAACCATTGTTGCTGTTTGGCCTCATTTCTCATGGCTGCCCTCATTTCTCAGAGCTGAGAGGAAATTTGTGCAAGGAAAATAGGGATAAATGGTATTGCTTTTTATTGCTTTTCATGGAGTCATCTTAAACTTTATGGGTGGAAAGCTCCAGGCAAAGAACGTGTCCAGTGTAGTGAATTATCTGTTCTACAGAATAGGGAATAAATGTTCAGAACAGTGTAACTTAATTCTCCTTTATGTCGGGGGATTTCTTCAGATGCTTTTGATAGAGCAATGCTTTCTATTTATTTATTTATTTATTTATTTTATTTCTACTCATTTCCTCGCATGAAGCCACTTACTGCTTCCCTGTGAATCATATTTGAAGGAAACAGGCCTGAAATAACAGTCTCTGATGCTCTTCTTAAAATGATTTGTGTGGCTGGTGAGATCAGAAGCTTTCCTGGTGCTGAGGGTGAGATACATTTCATGTTTGATGTCTGGACTTGAGACAATCACATCCATGGTAGTTTATTTCTATATATTTGGTAGGGAGAAAGGGGTATTTACAAGGAAGTATTCTGCCCATTCTATGTATCTGCTTTAGATAAGCAGGAAGAGTCACAGAAACTGGACTCCACTGGTTGTGACAACGGCCAGTCATTTACTTTGGTCAAATGAGTTCCACCCTGAGAGGGAAGAACTTTGGACTTTCAGTCATTTGGGGGCAATACTGATCAAGACTAAGGAACCTTTCAAGACTAAGTTTTTCTGCAGGAAGAAGCCTCTTTTTCTGACATTACAGAAAATGTGGCTTAAACCATTGTAATTCCAAGGGGATGAAAGAGAGGAGATGGTGGTTATTATTCAGTAATTTTTTTAAAGTAGGCTAAAAGACTGCTGAGAAATATATATCATTTTTGACCTTCAGAAAGATTACTAAAAAATATTGAGGGGTATAAATTATGGATTAAAACCAGTTAAGGGCAGCCTGGCCTTTCCAGTGAAATAACTGCTAAAGCTATTCAATAATTGTGTAAATGGCTGTTTGTACAGAGGATATCTCAAGAATTCGTGGTGGCTGAGGAGGTGGCACATGGTCAAGGTTAGTGTCATTTTAAAGTAAAATTGGACCTGGTTGACAAAGGTTTAGATCTGTTTCCTGACTGCATAAGTAATACAGATATTTTAGCAGTGGCTTGCATTCTTATTCATGGGAAACAACATGATTTTTTTCTAGAACAGTAAATGCAAGTAGAGGAACAGCCATAATGAAAAAAAGAAAAGCTTTAAAAAGTAATCTTCCTTTATTTTCTGATAAATGTCAGAATTTAGATTAAGATAAAAAGTGTAATTAAAAACATCCAGATAAATTAAAGCATTTTATTCTTATCTCTGACACCACTGTTTTTTTTTATTTTTGTAATATTGTATGAAGGTGCTGGTTTTTATTTTTAATGTCAATCCTTTCTAGACTCTTACAAAACACTGAAGACAAGCTCTTTTGAGAGAATCATGCCAGCTTTCAAATATAGCACAGACCGTACTGTGGAAACTTCATCAGTGTAGTAGCAGCTTCACTCATCCGGTTTTGCATTAACCCATCTTTCTACTGAGTTTCACTAAGTTAGCTGCAGCAGAACTCAGTGATCCCAAGAGGCAAAGTTGTTTGTGAGTTGAACAGTTGAAGGAAAGGCCCTGCAAGGATGCTATCTTTCTAGAAATGAAATATGCCACAGCTTTGATTTGTAGCTGTGTTTTCTGTGGTAGATTTACCAGCTCTCCTCCCTATGAAGAGGACAGTGAATTGTCTTTGCATGGGTCATTGAGCCCCAGAACTTGTTCTGCTCCTGCTAACTCTCATCTATCACCAGGGATGCCTCTAACCGTGCTTCCTATGGTGGGGAAATTCTCATCCAATAATTTTAGATCCAATCTCTTTATGCCTCAAAACATTTCAAGTCTGCCCTTTGTAACCTCTCCATCGCTTTCAGCCAGCCAGCATTTTTTGTGAGTGCTGGGGAGAGATACTGCATTTCTAACCTTGGTTAGAAATCAAGGACTTCTGAAGCTGCCTTTGGCTTCTTTGTTTATAGAGGAACATTCAAATGTATAGCTTTTGCTTTGCAACTCATTTATGCCTGTAATGTTAGGATATGATTAAGATGATTAAGGGAGTGGAGCATCTCCCTTATGAGGAAAGACTGAGGGAGCTGGGTCTCTATAGTTTGGAGGAGAGGAGATTGAGGGGTGACCTTATTAGTGTATATAAATATATAAAGGGGGAGTGTCACGAGGATGGAGCCAGGCTCTATTCAGTGGCAAACAATGACAGGACAAGGGGCAATGGGTACAAACTGGAACACAAGAGGTTCCACTTAAACTTGAGAAGAAACTTCTCAGTGAGGTTGACAGAACACTGGAACAGGCTGCCCAGGGAGGTTGTGGAGTCTCCTACTTTGGAGACATTCAAAACCCGCCTGGACACGTTCCTGTGTAACCTTATCTAGGTGTTCCTGCTCTGGCAGGGGGATTGGACTGGATGATCTTTTGAGGTCCCTTCCAATCTCTAGCATACTGTGATACTGTGATACTGTGATATTGTGATGATAGGATATTCATGCCACCCTACCTAAATAAATGCTGTATCCAGACAATGTCATAGGCTCCTACTTTAATCAGTGTAGAGAAAATAATTCTTTTAGAGAGGAGCAGCAATCTAAATTATGTGCACAAAGCTGTTCAGTATGAGTGGTCCTTCAATTCCTGGATGTTAACATCTTGTTCCCTCGCCTGTTCACCCTGAAGTGAGTGGTCCAGGTGGTAGCTGCTCCTGGGGAGTGTATCAGCTGGCCAAACATGCTTGTGTTTGGTACTTTAACAGAGCCAATGGCCACAATTCAGCAGCATTGGTTCCCTCATCTCATGGTGGGGAACCAAGAACTGAAGGCAAAATAGTATCAAAGGCAGTAGTCATCCCTTGTGTTTACCACTCACATTTTCTTATATGGTGTACCCTTGGGAAAGGGTCTGTCCTGCAGCACACTGGGTCTATACATGGGACAGGCATGGCTCACCCTCCTGACCCTGTAAGCTGAATACCAGTTTGTTGGTGTACTTAAGAATCACAGGACACATACTTCAAGGAGCCCATGAGCTCTGAGGGCTGCTTTGCAAGCAAGAGATGAGATTGATGAGCTTTCTCAGGTCCGGCTACCTTGTATATTCCAACAGCTGGGACTCAGTGTCACCTCAAAAGCTACAGAATGGTAAAGCATCACTGATACCTCTATGCTTTAACCCTTGTGTTGGAGCTCCTCCTGATCTTCCTGCAAGCAGCATGTTTCTCATAAAACTCCACAGTGATCAAACCTGCAAGATGATGAAACTTGTTCTCTTGACAAAGCAAAAGCTTACACACTCCGCATTCTTCTTCATGCTGTGATAGAGTTATATTTTGATACATGAGCTTGTCGATAAATGCTCATCTTTTTTTCTTGAGGGGGTGGCAGATGTCATTTCAGAGCATTCTCACAGCACTATTGCATTTCAGAATTCTCTATTTCTTTTTAAAGGACACAAGTGATGTAGCTAATGCTCATTAAAGATGTACAGAGCAAACAAACATAGTATTTTAAGTAAAATCTGTTTTATATTAAGTAACCATTCCTGACCTGGCATATTTATGGAATTTGCATTTTTGGAGCTTTTGCAAGAGGACTAATGGCAATGAGGTGATAACTCTAATGAGATGTATTAATTTGGAAAAGAAATAAAGAACTATTTTTAAAACTCCAAAGGCTGAAACTGTAATTAACAATCATAAATTTGTTTTTCTGTTTAATTTTGTAACCCTGTATGCAAAATAATGTAACACTGATCCTGTGTCTTTAATAAATTTGTAATAGGATGAGAAAATGATACTGTCCTGTGACAGTCATTCAGGTAGTTCTTCTTTTCCTGTTTTCAACTGTTATAAAACCTGCATAATTAAACAGCTGCCATTTCTCTCTAAATTTGGCTTGAGTTCAATGAAGATATTCAAGGATAATGTTTGTTGTGGTGCTAAAGTTGTTTTGGAGGTGACATAAGATCAATTGAATTAATATTATGTTGATTCAGAATAGAACAGTCTGTATGAGAGTTCATGCAGTTGAATTAATACACTTTTGAAGACCCTTCAGCTTCACTTTCTTGAGCATTCATCAGTAGAAATACCTGTTTGTTGTTTAGTGTGAAAGAATCATGTCAGAAATTTTGAGATTCTTCAGGAGGAGACCTAACATCTGGCAATTTTTTAAATTACTAGTTTTTTCTATATTTTTATCTAAGCTTTCTTAATATCCAGATGCAAAGTCTAGCTGTAGTTAAGGCTTAGAGATATTAGAGTTATTTATTTTTGTTGAGGGAAGAGTTGATGAATACAGGATTCTTTTTTAGACAGATGTAGGAATGCTTCACATTTAAAATAATTGCTCTAATATCTTTTCTTTCTTATTTTGGTAATTTATTTATATTTAATCTGTATGAACACTTATTGCCATGAATTTATTCAAGTGGCTTCTACTAATCCAAAATAAACAGCATTGGAGAACTTCATTTAACTTGGATTTCTTAAAATGCTGTTTTTTCTTGCAGATGCTGCCTTCTTCCACAGATAAGTCACAGGCCTATGGACAGCCAGAGGATAATGAGACCTATGTCAAAGTGAATGGGATGACAAGGTCAATACCTGCAAACTCTCTGCAAGAGGTGGATAGCATCCACAGCTCTCATTTCACTCCAGATGTGTATGATTCTGTAAAGTTAACAAGCCCAGAGAGGAACATAGCCTTGCATCGAGAGCTAAGACAAAACCATAGCAAAAACTGCAAGGTCAGTAGAAATTGGTTTTAGTTTAGTGAAATCTATTATATTTGGCAGTCATTTTATAGATCGTGTATATATTTCAGTGATTGTTTCCAGAGATGCACACTTGATTGTTAGTTTAAACAAGCTGGTGATAGTAAAAGCTTCATGCTTTTAATTTCCAAATGCATTCATAATTCATTTTCTTCCTCATTGTTTAGGAATGGCTTGGGGCTTGTGAAAATAATTAAAAGGTTTTGCTTTCATCAAGGTGTACTTTCTGGTAAGGCCATCTTTGAAAACTGTTGGATGTAATGTTGATCTTGTCCTACCTTTTCTTTTTCCTCTTTTTTTCTTTTAGTGATCCAATTATTCCTATGCCCTGAAGCTCTTTATAGTAATTTCCATTAACTGCAGGAATCCTGTTAAGAGCAGAGCTGATCAATTGCAATTGCATTTGTGACAGTCTGCTGCTAAACTAAACGCACAGGAGATTTCACCCTCTCTGAGACAGCATAACCTCTCCATAATTGTACAGAAACGAAATTCAAGTATGCAATTACCGGAGCCAGTCAGCTAGAGTAGTTACAAATATTGCTCTACTGAATTTTCCTTTATAATCTTGGATTGAAATAAATGTAATAAAACAAATAACAACATAGTTAACTGCTTTTGGCATTAATAGTTGAAAAAGTCATGGAAGATACTGAGATCTCCTTTCGGTCAAGTAATATAGCATAGAATGAAGAGGCAACTCAGAATTCTGATAACATGTTATTTAGTCCAGGGGATATATGTGACAGTCCAAACCCAGCTTCCTGGTCATTTTCTCTATCATTGTCACATATAAATATGATCAATGAAAATATTGTCAAAATTATTATGGACAACAAAATGTAAGTAACTTTTTAACTGACCGTATCTTTGTAGACTCAGGAATTACTTTTTTATAGACATCACATGGGCTTTAATTAAATCCCAACAAGAGGATGACCCAGGTTTAGTGTACCATTATACAGGAAGCTACAGCTGAAATCAGCCACAACGAAGAGACTGGCCTGTTCCCATGTAACATAAAGAAACACACTGGGATGTTTGAGGTTGTTCTCTTCTTTACTCCTCAGATACCTTCAGTTGTCTCCTCCAACTCATATCTGAAGGCTGACTGCAACCTGCCCATGATCCACAAGGAAACCCCTGTGCTGTCAAGGATGAAGGATGCACTGGTGCCGCCTCAGCATAGTGCCTTCTGGGCCATGAAGAAGAGAGATCAGTTGTTGAAATGTGATGATGTATTTTGCTGTCAAATAGGAAACCAACATGCAGGTGCTATTCCCCAGGGAATGAAACAGAAAAATGCCATTATGAATAAGGCATGGCTCTCTAGAGAAAAAACAAGCGGCTCAACCTCAGCTACCACAGCAAAAAGCTGTTTGTCAGACGTGTTGTCAGCAAGTAATAAAGGTCAAAATCCTGTGGGGAGCAACCAGCTGCATGGGAAAGAATAAAACCTGCAGAAATAAAGCAAGGTAAAGCATCTTAGCAATGTGATTTTCCCATTGCTACAATAGTATTAATAATTTAAAAAACAAAGATATTTTATTACTTAACATGGCCCAGCAACTAGCTTGATGTGACTGAAAAAGGGCTATAATACTTTTTATAATCCAAATTTCTTAAAACATTTGAGGTCACTGAAACATATGAATTTTTCAGTAGCTGGGCTGCCTCCCCATTTTCTTTTTACCACATGTTTAAGATATGCTTTTCTTTTAACTGAGACTGTAAAACAAGCCATTAAATCACTTTTATGTATAACCCATTTCTTCAGTGTGCAGTGGTAAGTTCTGAAATAACATCTGCCTTTTGTATTTCCTTTGGAACTTAAGGAAATGTGGTCTCACGGACTTCCTAGAAAGCTGTTTTACTGAAACTGGGGAATAGTTTTGCAGTTAGTGTTTATTTATTGTCCTGGGATATACATTTTTTTGTTATTTTTTTCTTTGTTTTTTTAATCAATAAAATGGTCCTACTGAAATACAGCAGGATACTCAATGTATTCCTGTAGTTTGTAAAATAGCATCCTAAGTAACAAACTGCAGCCTAAATTGATTAGGTTTACTGGACATGCTCCTGGCCACTTTCTTTAAGTGATGGCTTGGGCATCATGGGTACAGTAACATCAGAGTTCAAGGCATGGGTGATTCAGATGGCATCCTGTGCTGCCAAACCCTTACACCTACAATAGGAAGAAGCAGATGCAGTGCCAGGCCACCTGCACTAGCACAGCTGTGACAGTGCTTCCTCATAGCCTGGCTTAGAAATAGCTGTGGTCTGTCTGGGCTGCATGAACCTTTGATAGATCCATGTTATGGGAGGGATGAGGGAAGAGTGTGTCTGTGCAGGTGCATGTGTGCACTAACGCTGGTTAACTCTGGGAAGTTTAACTTAGCATTGCTGTAAATTCCCTGAAACACTGATTTATATTGGGATCCCACCAGAGTTAATACTTTTGCAAAACGTCCATTATTCACATCTCACAGCTGTCTTTATGTTTAATCACTTTTATTAGAAAAGGACATTTTTAACACACAGTAATATGTGGTGCTGTTCCCTCTGCCTCCATTGATTACTCTGGTTGGTTCATAGTATGTTACTACTTTGATGTTGCTTTTTGGAAGCTAGAAACAAAATGACTGGTTTTGAAGAAATATTAATGCACACACACACTTTATTGCGGGAAACTCATTTGTGCAGTCAGGTGGCAGGGCAATTGCTTACAGCAGTAACTGGATTGGTCTTCATCCAATGCATCTTTAGAAAATACACACCAGATGCTAAGGAAATAGCCCCTGGAAGTGATGTTTTGGAGTACTCTCTAAGCAGAGGAGACTCCAGTGAGGTTCCAAAATCTGGGCTTCTGCTTTCATGTGTCTTTCCCTTCTTCCTGATACATGGGCAGCACTTCTGAAGACATATACCTGATACCCAGCCATCAGCTGCCTTCTCAAATCATAAGATATTTTGATGTGCAAAACCACTTGTAAATATTTAACATGGTAAAATTTCAATATTGATAAAATGATGCTTTAAGAACTAGTTCTTGTGAGAATGTTTTTTGAGCTTTATCTTGATAACAGTAAAATACAGAGCCTGGTAGTTCAGGCTTTAGGTCAGATCATAATGCATGAAGTGTGCTAATAGTGAGGCTATTAATAATAATATCCTGCAATAATAATATAATAAGTCTTTGGTATCCTAGTGCAGCTATCTCCTTTGTGGTTGCAACCATAGCAACTTACCATGAAATTAAGCCTTTCTTGGTCCATTCCCTTGTCAAAGAAAGACAAGTGTGGTTTACTTTAAACTATCAGGCTTCATTTTAAGCTAATTAGGTTATTTGGCCCCATTCTTCCTCCTGCTGGAATTAACAATTTCCTGAACAAGGGCTGCAAATACACACAGGTGTAAATGGGGGAACAAACACAGACATATTACCTGCACTGAAGCACTGTAATGCAAAATGGACTCAAACAATTAATTCCTCAAGCAAAAAGATGTTATGATGGCACTTTGTAACTTGGCTTCAGAAGTCACAATTTCAGTTAAAACCCTGTAGCCTCTTGTGTTTTTGATGTTTAAGACATTCATTCCTACTACTACAAAGCATCATTTAAATATGTGCACATACCACAGTTATTTGGCCAGATGTTTCAGTTCCTTTTCATTTCTCCTAAGGAAAATTGTGAGGTTTTAGACACTAAAGTGGAGGAATGTTAATAGATTAACAGAAATCCATTTGGAGTGGGTCAGCTTTTTCAAACCTCTGTCCTGCTCCATTTATTTCCACTACAGAACAGGCAAATGAAAAGTGATAGTCATATTATGTCAAATAATTATGTGCTAATTGATGTACAAAAAGATTAGATGATGCACTGCACCATCAAACAAGGTCCTTCAAGTTCTTTAAATACAGTCATTTACGGAAACCAGCTAGGAGATGTACAGTGGCAGGCCAGATGGTTCATATATTCGTGTCGTGCCAACTGAGGTCCTTTGGGAGTCTGAGCTTGCTGAGTGACTCATACAGAATAATTAATACAGGCCCTTGTTCTGTAATGATTTGCGGGATTTTGAAATTGAGGGTGATCAGTAGCAATGGGCTTACATTGACATCTAAACAGTTGACTGGTGTTGAATCACTTGTGATCTGCTGTTTGTCATCCATGCACCCACCTGAGTCAAATGGCACTATACGTGAATGAATGATCAGGACACTCGGAACGAAGCTGGATGATGGTGTGCTTCCTGCTGACAGATGCTCACTGTGCCTGCTTCCCATTCAGACCCTTTCACTTACAAAGAACTTGCTTGAAACAGCACAGAAAATTACTGGCTAGGACCAATAGTTCACATCAAATGAGTGTTTATTAACATATTTAGGCAATATTAGCCCAGTTCTTTTTTTCAACACTTGAACTCCCCAGTACCAAAGCAAAAAAATCTCATTTTAACAGCGAAGCTGCCCTTTTTCTCTGCACTTTTAACATAATTGTTTCTTAGGTATAGCATGTAAATGAGATACGTGGAAGTAGTAACCTGAAAGGTGCATAGTCCTTTTTAAAGCACTATCTATCTTGCGAAAGATAAACTTTAAAAGGAAACTCATGGTGTACTTGAGGCTACAAATGCACTGTAATGTAGTTTGGGGGAGGAACTGAAATCTGACAACCAAAACCTCAGTGTCTTTAAAGTAAATCATGCCAATGTCCACTCCAGTTTCTTCTGGAAATTTGACTTTTGTAGAAAACGCAGAGGGTTTGCTCTGGAAGCCTGTCACTTCCCATCTATTGCTCATCCTGTGCTACAGAAAGCTTTTACATGCAATGGAGATTTGGGGATCAGATCTGATGCTCAGCCCATGGTACCTCATTTCAATTCTCAGGACTGATATTTGCGTGAGTCAGAACAAAACCAAGTTCCCTATAATAAGTATTTCTGTAGTCCTTAGTAATTCCTGTTTGCATTTTTGGGGTTGTATTTCTGATTTGTGAAAACACTATCTAATATCTTCTTAGTAACAGCTTTTTAATTTAGCCTTTAAGCTGAAGGATATTAGAGCTCCTAATTAAAGCCAGATAACGTGTGACAGATTTCCACAATGTAGACTTTTCTCTTTAAGTCTGATTAAATCAAGAAACTCCCATGTCTGTTAGCATAACTGTGTTCCCAGCAGGTCAGGCAGCTTTCAGGTGGAATTCAGGAAGAACTCACTTAAGTCCATCTTTCTTGCAGTACTCTTTTCTTGCAAATAAAGAGAACAGGAAGGGCTAGGGCAGAAAATGGACTATTTCAGAAACCTTGGCCTATTACATTTAGCTAGGAATGTTGTCTTTTCCCTGTCTACATCTTTGATCCTATCAGTCAGGATATTGGTGAACCACAGAATTCTGAGTTCATTTGCATATAAGTATACATAACATATTTATGTGCATATATATATTTGAATAATTGCATGGGGTTTGGCATAAATAAAGGTTCTATAAAATAATAGGGAGTAATAACTTTCTGCAGATTTTTCCTTTTTTTTTTTTTTTCTCTTCTCACTCCATTGGGATTGGCTAGCAGAAGTAAGGATATGAGAAGAGACTGGTTTATTTTATTATTTATTATTATTTATTATAAATTTTAAAGACTGAATTTAAACCTTAAGAGGAAACTAAGATAAGACTATGCAACAGAAGTTCTGCTTGTACCTTGACTCCACTGCGGGTTAAAATTGACTTTTAAAAAATGTCAATCTGTCTTCCCTTTCCCATATACATTCTCAAATAGTTTCCATGAGAAGGAAATTTACTTGTGTGCCCCACCTTGCCAGCCCTAGCACAGATGACAGTGGTACCAAGCCAGTGGGGGACAGTTGCCCCAAACAGATTTTTGATGTTGAAAGAGGAGAAGGAAAAAGATGAGTGGTTGTATAATTTTTGTCTTGCTTTTATATGCAATAAACTATTAAACCTTTACTGGGTAAGAGTTAGGCACCACTAGGGGAAATGTCATGCCACAAAGGAAGCTGAACAGACTTGTACCCATGTTAAAAATCTCTCAAACTGTAGCCGCTGCTGTATTTCATGCAATATGTTTCATGCACTTAAGGCTAAATGAGACCTCATAACAATGTTCCAGTATTTAAAGGCTGGCTACAAAGAAGACGGAGACTCCTTTTTAGAGGTAGTCACATGGAAAAGAGGGATATGGGTACAAGTTATTCCTGGGAAGATTCTGTTTGGACAGTAGAGGTGAATTGTTTCTCGTTTCAATGAGAACAACCAGCCATAGGAATAATCTCTTCAGGGAAGTGATGGATTCCACTTTTAAGATTCAGCTGGACAGGGTGCTGGGACATCTAATTTAGGTCATGCTTACTTGCAAATGTTGGACCCGATGATCCTTGATGTCCATTCCAACCTGGTACTCTATGGCTCTACAATAACCTATCTGCCTTTGTAAAGATCAACGCAGCATGGGA